CAGGCAACACAGAGTATAATGATGTTTTTTATCCTCTCACTTCTTCTTTTAAGGTTTGATGACTTTCCCTCTCAATAGCATTAACCAAGGGCCCTTCATGTTCTGGTAATGAATTATTCTCAATGTGGAAAACAGTTTCCTTAAAGTTTAACCATTTTGCATCAATAAGCTTTTGAACCTTGAACTTTAGTGCTTGACAATTCACAGTTGAATGATCTACAACTCCTGAATGGTAATCACATTTAGTGTTTGGGTCATATCCCTTTGGATAAGGTGGTACCACGACTTCATTGGGCATGACGCAAGTAAAAATTGTATAGCTGTGGTAGCAATTCCGTGTAGGTTACCAGGATTGGGTCAAATGTAGCAGGCTTTCTTTGGTTGTTTAATTTTTTTCTAGTTGATGTTTAGGTTTGAGCTAATTGAATTAGGTTGAGATTGGACAATGATGTGTAATTGCGGTTGTGTTGAAGGAAAAGCCCTTAAAGGTATTGCTAATTAAAATTGTGGAGAGAAAGGATTTTGTAAGGTTGCAACAATATAGGTATACTAGGTAAGGATTGTGATGTGGTTGTTGGAAATAGGCTGGTCAGGGGTAAGGAGCTGTAGCACCAACATTTGGCATGTCTGAAGTCACATTATGAGATTCCTCTTCTTTCTTTTTTCCTATTTCTAGTAGATGTTTTTTCGCATTATTTATTGTTTGGTAGGATTGTGACTAAGTTTTTCACTTCTCATGCCACATTCAATTCTTTCACGGATCATTATTACATATGCAAAATTAGCATAAACACTCCCAATCATTTTATCATAAAATGGTGACTGAAGAGTGTCAATGAATATAACTAAAATATTTTTCTCAGATAATGACAGTTGTACTTAGGCAGCCAGCTCCCTCCATTTTTGTGCATATTCTTTGAAATTTCATTCTCTAACTTACTTATATTCTACAATAACATTTGATCTAGAGTCATCTCAATATTGTACTTGTATTACTTTAAAAAGACATCTGTTAGGTCTTTTCATGAATGGATATGAACTCGCTCCAAATGAGTATACCAACAAGAAGCTGCCTCAGTCAAATTATTATGGAAAAAATGAATCAACAATTTATCATCATAAGCATAAGAAGCCATTTTTTAACAACACATTGTCAAATGACTCTTAGGACATGGAGTGTCTTTGTACTTGTCAAATTCTGGTAATTTGAATTTGAGAGAAATGACCACACCTGACACCAAATTAAATTAAAACTAAATCTTAATATGTTAATATTTCAGAAACTAAATCTTAAAAAAAAATTATAAAGATTTATTACAAAATATGCTACATTGGAGATCAAAACTATATTTAAGCTTACTTTTTAAATTATTTTTATTATTAAAATAAATATATTAATTAAATACTCATGTAAAGAAACAAAGCGACAGAAATAATAAGCAAATTGCAATTTGCAATAGCAATGGATCTGAAATTATAGAAATAAGTTATTTTTTAAAAATTGTCAATTTTGATATTTTAAAATATTTTATTATTATTTTAAAAATTATCAATAGTGAGTTTTGAATTTTAAAATTTTTTTAATATTATTTTGAAAAATTACCACTTGAGACTTTACCACTTTTTTGTTCTTTTATTTTTGAATTTTTTTACCTACACCAAAAATTGTCAATAGTGATTTTTAAACTCCATATTCCTGTAATTTTTTAAAAAAAACATATTTTAATATATATTATTTTTAAAATATAATATATATAAAAATAATTCCAACAATGTCGCGAGCGGAGTCAATTATCAGGGTTTTTTGGATTTTATAATATTAAATTCAATGACAGAGTATTATTAATTTAAAAATATTATATTTTACAAAAAATTATGCTTAAAATTACTTTTATTTAATAATTCTTTATATTATTAAATTTATAAATTAGATTAAACGCTATTTTGTATAAGTAAAGTTAATAAAAATAATATAAATAAAATTTAATTAATATTTTATCAAATAAATTTATTTAAATGTCTAATATATATTTTTAATCTATAAATATGTATATTATCCGTAAAAATTTATATTATGTGTTTCATCTACATCCTAAGATATACAATCAATATATTAATATAATAGACATAGTGGAGAAGAAAAGCACGTAGTGACAGCATGCATGAGATGCTTTTGCATTTACTTTGGAATGGAGTTATGAATGTTAAGTGTGACACTGTTGTTTTGCTATAAATTTATCAGTTTTTCTAAATCTCAGACAGTGTGTGTAAGAAGGTTGAAGTCGTTGCTGAAACTCAGGTGAGACAGAGACAGATTTACACACACACAACGATTAAGATTTCGCATATTCATCCTTTTCCATTGCCAAATCTACCATTCTTTTGCTTTTTATTCCCACTTGTATGATTTATTAGAAATTAAATGAGGTTAATGAAATGTAAAGCCATACATAACTTGTTTATGTTATTTTCGTCAAAAACTGATAGTTTATTTTGTTATGGGGGAGTAGAAAAATTGTGTGTTCCGAAGGTGTTGTTGAAGATTGGTCACAACCATTTTTCTTCGATCAAATAAAATTCAATGATCTATTTTTTCTTTCTTTGCATAAATTTCTTTGCTGTGTGATGATGATGATTGCTCAGGGCTCTAGGGAGCGATGACGTTTATGTTAAAATTACACACTGTGGTGTTTGTTATGCTGATGTAGTTTGGACAAGGAATATACGTGGCGACACCATGTATCCTGTTGTGCCTGGGTAAGTGGCCTTTGTTTTTCTGTATGGATGAGAATCCTATGTGCTTAAGCTAATCAATCTGTGTTTCCTTTTCATATCAGGCATGAGATTGTTGGGATTGTCTCAAAAGTTGGTTCCAATGTCCACCGTTTCAGTGTTGGTGACCATGTTGGAGTGGGGACTTTTGTCAACTCATGCGGGGATTGTGAGTATTGTAATGACGGAAAGGAAGTTTATTGTACCAAGGGAGCAGTTTACACTTTTTATGATGTTTGATTTTGATGATAAAATTACAAAAGGAGGGTACTCCAATTACATAGTAGTCCATGAAAGGTGAAGTTAATAAAAAAGGCTAGATGCTTGTGCTTAGTTTTATGAGGTCTTCTCTTCCTGAAATTATCTTGAGGTATAAAAGTACTTGTTTGATTTCATATTACAGCAGGTTTTGCCAGTTCATATCATATTTGGTCTTGCATCTGCAGGTATTGCTTCATGATACCAAAAGGCTATCCCTTGGCTTCTGTAGCCCCTTTGCTTTGTGCTGGACTGACTGTATATTCTCCCATGATGCGCCACAAGATGAATCAATCTGGTAAATCTCTAGGAGTGATTGGCCTTGGTGGCCTTGGTCATATGGCAGTGAAATTTGGAGAGGCATTTGGTTTGAGTGTAGCGTTTTTCAGCACTAGCATATCCAAGAAAGAGGAGGCACTAAACCTGCTTGGTGCAAACAAATTTGTTGTCTCATCTAATCAAGAGGAAATGTGGGTGAGCAATTATACACAACATAAAGCATCTCCTACATCACATTTTCTTCAGACCATGAACAGAACACTTATATTGATGACTTGTGCTTCTTTTTCAAGTCAAAATTGATGGTGATTCCCATGCAGGCATTAGCTAAATCAATGGACTTCATAATTGACAGAGTTTCTGGTGATCACTCGATCGAGCCTTACATGTTACTGTTGAAGACGTACGGTGTTTTTGTCCTAGTTGGGTTCACAAGTGAAATCAAATTCAGCCCTGGAAAGCCTTATTATAGGTAAGTTGCTTTTGAAAGCATAGAAAGGTTTGTTGGAATAATCAGTATTCATTCATTCATGTAACTCTTGTGGAGCCGAGGAACCGTGAATATGCATCATGTGTTTGACAGGAGCAAGGACTGTTTCTGGAAGTCTTACAGGTGGCACAAAGGAGACGCAGGAGATGATTGACTTCTGTGCTGCAAACGGGGTTTACCCAAATATAGAAGTGATTCAAATCCAATATCCCAATGAAGCTCTTGAGAGGCTCATAAATAGGGACGTCAAATATCGGTTTGTAATAGATATTGAAAATTCCCTCAAATAGTGCTAGATAACATAGGAAGTTGCTTTCCCCAAATAGACATTATTGGACTTCACCTTGTTGATACAAATTGGTGGAAATAATGATGCTAAGTTCATAGTGACTTACATTAGAGATGATTCCAATTGACTATGTAATGCACATAAAGCTTCTGAGAGGGTCGTAAGTAGGGATGTGAAATATCTGTTTGTGAATAATTGACAACTCCAGAAAGTAATAATTGAAGAAAAGGAAGTTGCTTCCCAGGTTAAAGCAATTAGTTGAGTTCAATTTCTAGAATAGAGGAGTTTCTTAGAAGGTTTTGTTTGAATCTTTTTGTATTTTTCTTGAGTTGTGTATAACAGTAAAATTTCTGGTAAGAGATACATGAGGCTTGCTATGAGATAACCCAACAGGATCTAACCAATAGATTATTTGATCGACTATCCACAATAATCTAGTTTTCCATTTCATTATCTGATATCACAAATATAAATCTTCAGCCAAATGCAGCACCATGAACTCGGGGTCGGGAATCTCTATCAACACATTCAACTTTGTAAATCACAATCCTCACCAGATTCCACATCTACAAAATGCATTTGGTACAAGCATAAAAAAAACAAGAATCTCGCTTACAGTGCTAATTTCGCCAGATTGAGCTTACCCAACCATGACAAGATTTCCAGACTCAAAACAATAAATTTACATAGGGTAGGAAAAGCAGGAAAATCGGTGACACAGCAATCTCATACAAAACAAGCGAAGATGAGCATTTAAATAAACTGATCCCTCACATACGACAGTGAACGAGATGAATGTACAGTAACACATACAAACCACGTAGATCAACAATGTCGCTAAAAGATACACCCGATATATGGATAGAAAATAATCAACTTTTATGATGATATTCAACGTATAATAAATACATAGGGATTAATTTGAAATATTATTAAAAAAATTCAAAGGAAAAAAGAAAGTTGAAGCCCAATAAAATTGATGGAAAAAAATACATGAAGATAGGTTACATTTTACTTCTAAAAAACATATGAAGCTTCAGTAATTAATGATTAACGATAAAATACAAATAAAGTCTCAAAATTTTCCAAATGAACAAGAAAAATACACTAACAAAACTCTCAAACCATGCTAGTATTTCAAGTCTTCACTAGGCATGCTGGTAATGGTGCAACTTATACAATAACACTTTGCCAGAAGCGTTTCCCACAGCCATGAAACCACCACCTGGACTAAAATCAATACAGCGGGGGTAATGCAGGCTCATATTTGGCGGAGGCCAGTTGGAGAACACAGTGTACGATGGAACATGTATTAATTTTAAACTGCTCTTCTTCATGCCTGAACAAATTGCTAATATTTGAGAGTCGTGATTAAATTTCATAAAATCAACTTTTGTAGTCAAATTCTCTATGGTCTTGATAGGCTTTCTCTTGCCCCCAAGAAAGTCCTCTCTATTGTAAATATTCACAATTCCACTGTTTGAACCAGCTGCAAAATGAGTCCCACTTGGTGAGGTACAGAGAGCTGTGCCATTTATGCAACCTTCATCTACACCTTTATGTATGCAAGTCCTTGTTCTCAGATCCCAGTGGTAAACCTGGCCATCACCACCTTCACTCAATAGATGTTGTCCATTCTCAGCAAAAGCTAAGGAACGGATTGTTCCATTCATCTTTAGAGTACCAACTAATTGCTTAGTTTTTGCTGAAACCAATAAAATGTAACCTTCATTACCTGCAAAAGCTATCATTTGAGAATCAGAGGACACCTCAAAAACCTCCAAACTCTTCTCTTCCCTACCAACCAGAGGACCTACTTTATCAACTCTAGCCTTAACTAAATCAAAACTATAAAAAAACTTTCTTCTTCCAGATAGTATAATCTGAGACCCATCTGGCAAGAATGATGCTTTTCGAATGGGGCAATCTTCAAGGAAAATGTTCTGAATTTTGGTGTTTCGCTTGCCATCAATTTGAAAAAGCCTAAGCTTCCGGTCCAATCCTGCAGCAAGAAGCAGCTGTGCATTGCGATGGAATTGAACCGAATTCACCGGCCCATTAGAAGGATCCTGAATATTTGCATCCACAAGTCTAGAGTACTCAAGAAGTCCAGGCAACAATTTTGAGCTCCTCTTCACAACCAGGTCTTCATTTGTCCTGAGAATATCATCCACATCCTCATAACCACGACCCACAACAGCTTCATTTTCTTCATCCGTTAACTCATCGTCAGAAGATCCATCTTTTCTCAACCTCGAATCAAGCTGCGCCCATTCAGTTCCCGGGTTGAGTTTAACATGCTGAGCCCTCAATCTTGACACATACTCCGAACCAGAGATCAAATTCTCATCCTCTCCTTTCCTCAACTTCCTTAACCTATTAACCTTGGCTATGTTAACAGTGGCATTTTCTTCTTCATCGTCCACCCACACGGGTTTCCTTTGCATAGCCTGGTCATCATCATCATCATCATGATTTCCCTCAAACAACTCCCCATCTTCCTGGTAAACAGGGAGAACACTATCTGCAGAACGGTCAGTGAAAAATAAATCAGAAACCTTTGCTGCATTATTCCCAACTTCCACTTCATTATCCTCCTTTCCAAACTCAACAGGGGAATAGAGAGAGCCAAACAAAAAGTTCTCAAGTTTCTTCATTTCCTTCACTTGTTCCATTACAACCTGTTCCCCCTTGTCTTCTCGTTTCCTCTTCTTCACTTTCAGAGTATCATTATTGTTCTCAACATCATCTTCAACCTCCCTCTTAGTCTTGTTAACCTCGTTTTTAGGGCGAGCATTTTGAGATATCAAACTCATCTTTCACAAGCCAACCTGCAAATTAAACATAGTTCAACCAATTCGAGAGTTGGAAATTGATGTTAAATATATAATAATAACATTAAAAATGAATGGATTAAGCATACGACAAATCGAAGTAAAACGAGTTAGAATCACAAATAGGTAATGCAATGATTAGTGAAACCAAACGAGTGAATCAAATGAATTAGCATTGAAAATAGGTTCTGAAAGGAATGCAAATGAATACCTTTGAATGGTTTCGAACTCGACGCGCCGGTGGAGGGCGAGGGAGTGAGAGCGGGACGACGGAGGCGTTTAGGTTTTGGCGCAGAGTGAAAGGGTTTATGCAACTGGATTGGGCTTTTGCTCTTGGTTTGGGCCGTACCCGTGTTTGGTGTCAAAAATCTTAACTGGGCCTCTCTCTCATAGGTTTTAATGAATGCATTTATATATATTAAATTGAAAAACAAAAAAAAAAAAACTCTTCTGTGGACCAAAAACTAAAACCTACTCACAGAAAAATTGATTACTTAATGAGTCAAGGTAATAAGGTTGAAGCTTCGTTTGTTTTTGTTAGAACATGTCTGCTTGCCAGCGGGTACGTCCAGCTCATGTTGATGGTTATGCATTTTTTGTTTATCTTCTTCAAATTATTTTAAGCTTGGGATATTCATAGGTCAGACTAAAGTTTTAAAACATTGAATTGTTAATTGAAACTATATAAGTATTAATTCACAATTTGCTGCCTCAATTATGCTTGGAACGTGGTAGAATATGTGACAATGAAATATACATATGTTTAACAATATATTTTATTTAAATAATAGAATAACAATAAAAAACTATAATGAATGATGTTAGATAAAGTTTAAATTAAGATAAAAGAATCGAGCACGCGTGTGTATTGTGTTTGGTGAAATACCATCCATTTTAGGAAAATGTGATGCAATTTTGAACTTTTTTTCATAACAAATTGTAAATGTCAAGTGTACCCATATCAGTGCCAATTGTAAAGCAAATTAGAGTAGCGTAAGGTTAAGCTATAAAATGAAGTCCGTAAAAAGTCATGCTTCAAAGGGATAGAAATTTGGGATGGAGAGAGTATTAGTTGGAACAAAAAATATAAACTAACTATAATCAAACCAATAATCCTTAGATATTGTTAAAATGCATGTAAATCCATAACATTACTCCGCAGGCCAACCGGCTTGGAATTCACATCGTATTCGTATAGTTCATATTGCTTGGTCATATTATTAATTAAAAGGGTATAGAGGGTGAACTCTAATGAGCCAGAACTACAAGACAATTATACAAATCCAAAACTCATTAAAAATAACGAATAAAATCATTGTCCAAGTTACATAAATAAGAAAATCAAAGTTTAAAAATTATGCAAGACTCATTTGTTGTACATTGTATGACATGATAACAATTGAAGGTTTCAAAATCAATTCTCACCCAGAGATGGCTGCTTGCCATGTTGGTCTCAATGCAACCAACCATTTATTATGTTATGCAATGGAAATCATTTTGTTGCTCCATATGATTACTTGTGTAAACTCACTTTCATTTCATCACCAAGGCTTTGATTATGAAGATGTCAGGATTAAAGGAGATGCCACTTTGTCACATTCAAAAATTGAACTCACTTCAACCACAAGATACCAAAGCAACGCTTACAGTGTTGGGAGGGTCACAAGTTTTGAGCCTTTGCACCTGTGGGACATGAGATCAAGTGAACTCGCAGACTTCACTACTGAATTTTCCTTTATCATTTTCTCAAATGAGACTAGTTTTGGAGATGGATTTGCATTTTTCTTTGCAGATCCAAAGCTGCCACTTTTAAGTAAAATAAAAGAAGGAGGTGGTCTTGGTCTTGTGGATGGTGACCAAACATTGAAGTCAACTAAGCATCCATTTGTAGCAGTGGAGTTTGACACTCACCAAAATACATGGGATCCACCCGGCACTCATGTGGGTATAAACATCAACTCTATGATGTCAAGCATAAATGCGCCATGGTATGTTGATATTAGGCAAATGAAAGTTTATTATTGTGGAATTGAGTACAATGGCAGTTCTCATAATTTAAACGTGTCTTTCACTGGTTACATCGATGGCAAGACAGTAAAAGATTACATTTCATACACCGTTGATTTGAGAGATTACCTGCCAGAGTGGGTTATTTTTGGCTTCTCAGCTGCTACAGGAATTATGTTTGAGATGAACACACTGCTGTCATGGTCATTCGATTCAAGTTTACAAAGTAATGAGAATGTGCCAAATGATATACCTCCAATGGCAGCCTCACCAATCCCAAATCTCCACCCTTCACCAGTCCCAAATCCTAATTCTTTACCAATTCCAAGTGCTGATATTAGCCCTAAACAAGATAACCAAAGAGGTTTTTTTATGAGGTTAGGAGTTGGTGTAGGTATAGCTGCGAGTTTTCTCATTTTGGGGTTGGTTTGTAGTTTAATGTGGAAAAGGGCTAAAGGGAAAAAGAAAGATTCACTTTATGATTTGAACATGGATGATGAATTCCAAAAGGGCATTGGACCTAAGAGATTTTGCTATAAAACACTGGCAAGTGCAACAAATAACTTTGCAGAGGCACAAAAGATTGGACAAGGTGGTTTTGGTGGTGTTTACAAAGGCTATTTGAAATATGACAACTCCTTTGTTGCTATAAAGAAGATATCAAGAGAGTCCCGGCAAGGAATAAAGGAATATGCAACTGAAGTTAAGATCATTAGCCAGCTGAGGCATAGGAATTTAGTCCAATTAATTGGTTGGTGCCACAGGAAGAAAGATTTCCTCCTTATATATGAATTCATGCAAAATGGTAGCTTAGATTCCCACCTATATCATGGAAAAAGCATCTTGACATGGCAGATGAGGTACGACATTGCAATGGACTTAGCCTTGGCAGTGTTATACCTTCATGAAGAATGGGAGCAGTGTGTGCTTCATAGGGACATTAAGTCCAGCAACATTATGCTGGACTCTAGTTTCAATGCTAAGCTTGGAGATTTTGGCTTAGCTAGGCTAGTGGATCATGAGAAAGGTGCACAAACCACAATTCTAGCAGGGACCAGGGGCTACATAGCCCCTGAATATTTCACTACAGGGAAGGCTAAGAAGGAATCTGATATATACAGTTTTGGGGTTGTTTTATTGGAGTTGGCCAGTGGAATAAAACCAGTAGACCTTAAAGCCAAGGAGGGTCAAATAACCATATTTGAGTGGGTTTGGGAGCTTTATAGATTAGAACAGTTCTTTGATGCAGCAGACCCAAAACTTGGGGGAGCATTTCAGGAGGAGCAACTGGAACGTTTGCTTGTTGTTGGCCTCTGGTGTGCCAATCCAGATTATACATCCAGGCCATCTATAAGGCAAGTGATTCAAGTGCTCAAGTTTGAAGCTCCTTTACCTGTTCTCCCACAAAAGATGCCTGAGCCATATTACCATTCTCCCACAATGAGTACTGTTTTTGCTTCAGTTTCTTCTCCCTATCCAGATACATATTAGAATCAGATACAATGTTTCCAATAGGGGAATTTTATGATGTACAGAAGTTAATGGAAAATTCATGTTTCTTAAGTTTGGTAGTGACATCTCACATTCTAGTACAGCATTGGGTTAAGTCATAGGCAAGTCATTATTTGATGGGGAACTATTTAGTTTCCTTTTTATAGTTGTGTAATGAACACTTAAACTCTGCATGTGTTTGTCTACTTCTGTTTATGTGATTACATACATTTTGTAAGTTTGTGATATAGAAAGAAAGAATGGAGGAATGAAGAGCAGAGAGCGGAAAAGAGAAATGGCATTCATTACTCATGTTATAGTTATAGTTATAGATGATTCTCCAATTATGGAATATTTGTACAAATTGAAAAATTAATTAAATAAACAGAAATTGTCTTATTATTTACGTTTGTTCAATGCAATTGAATACTAAATTCTTTAAAAGAAATATTTTTTTAAGGAATTGTACAGGAAGGGAGATTTTGAAAAGGAAAGGAAGGAAGAACAAAATTTATATTTTAAATAAATATATTTTAAAATTAATATTTTGAAAAAAAATTAATATAAACTTAATATATTAATAATATATTTGTCATCATAAATAATATATAATTTTTTAATTTAAAGTTAAAAAATATGTCATTTCATCTTTTTTACTCTAAAAATTTTGTTCCAAACATAACATAAAGCAATATACAAGTGATGAATGACGGGAACAATAATCATGTAAAAAAAGCCACATATATAAATTGATCCTTATGCCAAAAAATGGTAAACATAATAAATTTTGTGAACTATGATTTCTTTTTTTGACTGAATTTTTTTATTCTCTAGGAAAGATGGAAGTAATTTTGAATTAAGGACGTTGCATGCATGCACGTGCATATACTATAGAGTATGAAAGACTCACAGATCAAATAAATGATTGGCAAAATTTGTTGGTACTCTCCAAGAAGTTGCTGAAAATATGGAACAATATTCCATTATTTTACTAAAACTAAAGAAAGTTATTTGCCTTGACATGCTCGGTCTTTAGCTTTATTTTTCATCAAATAAAATTGCCAATTTACCAAGCACTTTGCTGCCATTTTTTTATGGAATGTGAATAGCAACGTTGAATTTATATCTTAAGTGGCTTTTTCCTTCTCGATAGGTTCTGTATCTTTTAGTGCAAAGGCACACGAAAGCAAATGAAAAAGATAAAGAAAAGATTTTAGTTTTCAATTTGTCAAAACTTAATTTCCCCTATCACTTAATGCAATTGTTCTTGCTATTCAGTTTCCTTCTCATGTGCATGTTCAATGCAAAACTTGAGAATTTTGGTTTTGAACCATACACAAGTTATACAAACTACAGCTTTGAGATATGGACTACATGGCCCCTGAAGAATTTTCTTCTTTTGGTCATCCAAGAGTATCCCGCTAGTATTTGCTTATAGTATGCCCTGGAATGGGTTAACCTTTTCTCATTCTAAACTACTGTGCATTGAAGGGGGGAAAAGGCTACTATTCTTGTCAAGACATCAATGGTTATTTGACCAATTCAATGAAGACAACACAACACAAACAAGAAAATGAACTTTAACCAAATCCATGCCACATTTCAAAGATATTTGTAAAACATTTGACTTTACAAACCAAATTCCACAGGCTCATTGGCAACCCAAGTTGGAAATTTTCAAGTGCAAGGTAATGTAAGCATATTCCATACCATTTAGATTATACTTGCATCCAAACAACCTATGACATCCTCAGCTATGGCAGCATGCCAATACAGTAAGTGTACTCATCTACTTCCTTACTTGAACATAACCATGATATTTTTGTCTTTCATGATCCATCACGCTGCTCCTTTGAACTTCATATTTCCTCAATTTCTCAACAAGGAAGATACTTTGAGATTTGAAGGAGATGTTCATCCAGAGAAGGGATTCCTCCAACTCACCCAACTCAAGTCTGATAGTGTTGGCAGGGTTACATATTACAAACAGCTACATGTTTGGGATAGGGACTCAAGAAAACTCACGGACTTCACTTCCAATTTCTCCTTCATTATTAAACAACCAAACAAAGACCAACGTGGAGATGGAATCACATTCTTCCTTGCCAGCCCCAACTTTCCACTTCCTGTCCCACCAGATGGGTCTGGTATAGGCCTTGTGGGCCAAAAACAAATGGCAGATCCAAATTTCATAAATGAGCATCCATTTGTAGCAGTGGAATTCGACACCTTTGGGAATGATTTTGATCCCCAATATGACCATGTAGGTATCGATAATAAAACTATGATGAGTCCTTACACTGCAGAATGGTTTACTATTAAGGATGGGAGAGTATATGATGCTCAAATTAGCTACAATTCTAGCACATGCAATTTAAGTATCATCTTTACAGGATATAAGGATAATGTCACAGTGAAACAACATTACTCCCAAGTAGTAGATTTAAGAGACGTCCTACCAGAGTGGGTTGAGTTTGGCTTCTCTTCAGCAACAGGAATATTATATGAGACACATACACTTTGCTCGTGGTCTTTCGACTCGAGTTTGGACTTGGAAGTGCACAAGGATGAAAGCAAGACCGGGATGGTGATAGGTTTAAGCATTGGAGCAGTTGTTTTAATAGTTGGTATGGGATTAGCTTGGATTCTAAGGATGAAAAAAAGAGGCAAGGAAGATGACTTCGATCTTACTATGGACAGTGATTTTGAAAGAGGGAGTGGACCTAAGAAGTTTTCCTATGATGAACTTGTTACAGCAACTAACAACTTTGGAAATGAACAGAAGCTTGGAGAAGGGGGTTTTGGTGGAGTCTACAAAGGATTTATAAGAGGCTTAGGTGACTATGTTGCAGTTAAAAGAGTGTCTCAAGGATCTAGGCAGGGTGTGAAGGAGTATGCCTCTGAAGTAAAGATCATTAGTCAATTGAGGCACAGGAATTTGGTGCAGCTCCTAGGATGGTGCCATAGGAAAAATGATCTCTTACTTATCTATGAGTTCATGTCAAATGGAAGCCTAGACTCCCATTTGTTTGGAGGCAAAAGAATCCTGACATGGGCAGCAAGATATAACATTGTTGGGGGCCTAGCCTCAGCATTATTGTACCTACATGAAGAATGGGAGCAATGTGTGCTACATAGGGACATAAAATCAAGCAATGTTATGTTGGATTCAAATTTTAATGCAAAGCTTGGCGACTTTGGATTAGCTAGATTGGTGGATCATGGCAAAGCGTCACAAACAACAACTTTAGCTGGAACAATGGGATATATGGCTCCTGAATCTGCCACCAGAGGTAAGGCTAGTAGAGAGTCGGATGTATACAGTTTTGGCGTTGTTGTTTTGGAGATAACTTGTGGAAGAAAACCAATTGAACTAAAAGCCAGTGAGGAACAAATTATTATGGTAGAATGGGTTTGGGAACTCTATGGAATGAGTAATCTAATAGAAGCAGCTGATCCAAGATTGTGTGGAGACTTTGATGAACAAGAAATGGAAAGGTTAATGATAGTTGGCCTATGGTGTGTTTACCCGGATTATTGTTTGAGGCCTACAATTAGAGAAGCAATTCATGTACTCAACTCTGAAGCTCCGTTGCCCACTCTCCCACCAAAGATGCCTAAACCCACCTACATTGTTCCTTCACTTACTGCGTATTCAAACTCTACATCATCTAGTTCCAGTGCTTTTGGGCCTACTTAAACCGAGCTTTTATCAAAAAACTCTTACACTAGCTCGTCAGAATCCGAACCATTTGCTGCACTTCGGCATAATAATTGACATGTAATGTGCATTTTAACATGTAACCCTTTTTTAAGTAGAAATTATTGTTGTAGTTATATAATCTCCATCGATAAATCATTTTTTATAAGGTCCGTATTATTTTTCTGACTTCATAAATAACATAAATAAAATATTATGTTTGAAGTGTTAGCTTTTTCTGTAATCTCTGATTCTAACAGTCATGCTCAACCATGAGCTAGTTAAGTTCTACTTTCACATATGCTTCGTTTGAATTAGTATGCAGTGCATAGAAAAGGTTCCTCTTCCAATATTAATATCATCAAAAGATTTGATAGCTGATAACCCGAGTGAGCTACTCTGAAGAAGAGAAAGGTTGGTCACACCATTTTGTAACAACAAAATAAAAATGGATACGAGAGGGGATGGGAGGAGATATGTCTTATTTGTGCTATTGATCTGATGAGTTCCTTCTAATAATGTGAAGCCATATAAACCAGTATTTTATATAAGCACAAAATCATATACAATTTTGCCACACTAAGTTATAATTTTGATTATGTACAACACTAGTACACCAAAATTGTTTCTTACATAAATTCATTTGAATTTTCCGATTTGGTTTTCTTCTTTTTTCCTTTCGTGCAATTTTAAACATTCAATAACAATTAACATGAAAATATTGATTGCTTCAGTGGTGGGGGCCCAGCGGGAGGGTATACGAATAAAGGACGCAATAACAATCTTTTCTTTATCATAAATTGGACTATGACATTCATAGCCAGGTGAAATGCCGGTCAAAATCGTAGTAGCAGATGCTAAAATTTCAGTGGAGAATTCTTAGTCGGTGTTCCATCAAACACTGTTATTAGTCCATAGGACATAACCCAAACCTGTAACCATGTTGTTGTTACTAATTGCACATACACAGCGACACATTTTGAAACCATTTTGATTGCCACTGTTCCGTTTTAACAAGTAAAAATGCGTATTAAATGATGGTTGACTTATTAGGCTTTACAAAAAAAAAAATTTAATGCAAAAATAATAAATGGTACCAAATGAAAATCGACGAAAATGGTATAATCAAAATCCACTTTGATTTCTGCATAATCAGTGTCGTTTATTATTTTTTTTAATTTAACATTAGACCAATCATAAAAGATCCGTGACTTCGTCAAAATTCACAAGAAAAATTTTGCACGAAATAGCAAAATTCATTTAAATAAACAATTAAGTATTATTTTAATAATGTTTATAAATGCATAAAATTTTAAGAAAATTATATTAGTTTTAGATGATTGGTGTATGAACTCATTTTATATTTTTAAAATCTTTGATAAACCAATGATCTACTTTTTAAATGGGTAAAAACTATTTAATTCACCTCTAAAAATAGAATAGAATGAGCTATCAAATTGGATTCGGATTCTCTTATTGTGTGTTTTGTGTTTTTGTATTTTTATTTAAGTGAGTGAGAATAAAAATACAAAAATACAAAATATGAGGAAAGAATCATTTTTCATCAAATTTTTAAAACGACAAGACAGGCCAGCGTGGTCTTCAGTTAATTTCTCAGCTGCTAATAATTTTTTTTGGATAATTTTTTTCAACACTTTTATTTAAGGAGATTCAATCGGATACGCTAATTTAAAGTGTGTCTAGGGTGCATTGCTTTCAAAACAAAATGGGATCCACAATTTTTTGATTTAGTGAAAAACTAAACCCAAATGTCCTCTTTTGATAATAAATAAGAAAATTAAAAAAAATAGTGATTCTAAATAAATAAAATATAAATCATTAAAGACTGTTGGTCTAATTTTGTGAAAATGAATGATTATAATTAATGATTTTTAAGTAAATTTTTAGAAAATTTTATAAATAATAAAAGGTAAATTGATAAATACTTTAAAATATCCATCCCACTCTCCTCTCAACCTCTTTATCTATATTTACTCACTGACATTGTACTTTCTGCTATTTGGTGGTCGCAGTTGGGAACTATTGCTGCAACCACTAAGCCTTCACCTCTATCAACTCCTTTGATAACGTCAATGTTTGTCAATTTTTATTCAAAAATTTATTCTTTATTAAATCTGTAAATAAAAATATATAGTATTTATTATTAATATTTATCAATATTTATTTAAAATTTAATTTTTATTAAATCTGTAAATAAAATAAAAAATATGTAATATTTATGATAATAAAAATTTAAATACTTTTTATTTTAGTTATCTTTTTAGAACCGAAATAAAAATTTGATCATTTAAAATAACCATTGATGCAGAAATATGTAAAATTTTACGATATATTATTTTTAATATTATAAAATTTAAAAAGACATAACTTTTAATATAATACTTTAATTTATACAAATTATATATTTATTTTATATAAATTTTTAAGATATATTTAATCAAAAGTTTAAAAAAAAATTTAAAATTCTAACATTTTTAAATTTTTTTTATTTTTAAATTTTATATTTTTTGTAATTAGAGTTTTGCCGTATACAAATTTTTAAAATAGTGTATATCAAAATTTATAGTCATGCAACAAAATAAAAAGTAACGATATTCGATTAGACAGTTATTGATGCAGCTTAAAATGAAAGACACAAAAAAAAAAAAAATATAAATCAAATTATCAATATATCTTTAATAAATTTAATATGTATTACTAGTTTGTATTAGATTTGGAGTACTACCCAGTCTTTAACTTTGTTAACCAAGGAGAAAATGGGCTTTTTTATTTAAATATTGTAAAATAAAAAATTATTTCTTAAATTACATATTTTTTTAAACTATTTCTCTATTTGGAGTAAATTTGTTACGTTGGTGTTGTGTTTCACCAAAGCGGCTGGCGAAATAAACTTTTTTATTTATTTTTTTAAATTTGTTTCGCCACAAAAAAAGTGAAATACATTAAATTGAAGCACGTGTCAACGAATTAACGGTTTTCCTATTTAATTAGCGGAATTAATTGCGAGTTTCGCCACCACCGCTGCGCAACTAATAGAAAAATGACACGTGGATACGACCAACTTGTTTCGCCACTAAAAACGCGAAATCTATAAAATTAAATAAAACAAAAATTTGAAAAATAGAAAATGAACGGCTGGGGAATGACGAAGACAGGTGACGACATCGTACTTGTTTCACGCTGTGAGTAGCGAAAGAGTGTTTCACCATCAAAACTGACGAAACCAATAGGAGGCTGACACGTGGTAGGTGGAACAGTAACCGTCCCGGCCCCTTCTTCCCCTTCGCTCCTCGTTCTTCTATTTCTGCTTCCATTTCTTCATCTTCTTACGCCTTCTCTTCTCCATTTTTAAAAGATTGCAGTGAAAATTTTTGGGTAAGATTTTATAGTTTATAAAATTTTAATTAAGATAATGATATTATTTATATTTATATGTAAATTTATATTCTGTTTATTATTTTAAAATACTAAAAGAAAATATTTTTTGTTTTGTAGGTAAACACGGTTTAAAGAGAATTAGAAGAGTTAGAAGAATTAGAGGTTAGTAAAATTGATTTAGTTAATTATAAATTTTATTTCATTAATTTATGTTTAGATTAATAGATTAGAAAATAAAATTTGACTGATTATGTTAAATTATTAAAAAAAATTATAAAGAAAGAATAATATAATAATATTTGTTAATTATATGTTTGTATAATATTATTAATATGATGTTGTATAATATATTTGTTATATATTTATTTAGAGAATAAAAAAAATTAGTTAAATAATTTTAATTTAATAATAATAAGAAATATTTGGTTTAATTGTATAAAATATTTTGTATACGTAAATAAATTTCAATTATGATAAGAAGATTATAAAATTTTTTAAATTTATGTATTCTAAATATGTAAGTAGTTTGTATTTTATTAAAATGGATTAAAAATTTGTATGTAAAAATTAAGTAGATATTATTTTATTACGTTATTAAAAATAATAAAAATAAATTCATTATTATAAATATGTTAGTAATTTGTATGTAAAAAACTAAGACAAATTAAATATTTGTATGTATTAGTAATTTTTATGGAATATATTGTATTACGTATGTGAATGTGATTTGTAGGTAAAATACTATTAAATTTAATTATTATTATTATAATATAAGATAAATTCATTATTATGTATTATGAGTAATTAGTAATTTGATTGGGCTAATACTATTAGTAATTTGTATGTAAAAAATAATAATTGTATTATGTAAAAAAATTATTTTAATTTTTAAAATGTAAAAAAAATTGTTTCATTAAATTATTATAATTAAATAAGATTACTTAAATATATTATAATTAAGTTAGTAATTTGTATTATGTTAGTGATATGTTTTTTTTTTAATTTGAATAAAATTACATTTGATATGTTATGATATTATGCTTTTAATTAAGTTGTTTTAATTTAAATTTTTGTATGTACAAAGAAAAATATATTTTTATAATAGGAGCACATTTTTGTTTGAATTTTTGTCTAATTAAAATGTGATAATAATTTTATAATAAATTCAAAAAATTTCTAATTAATTATGTTAGGATATTTTGTTAAATGTGATAATGATTTGTGTGTAATAACAAGCATTATATAGAATTATGGGTATGTTTATATTTCCATTAAACATGAAATACTAATAATTTAACTTGACGAATGAAGTTGATATTTCTATTTATATGTTTTTTTTTATTTTTTTATTTTTTTTATAGATGACATCATCTTCGAGACAAAATAGGATTATTAATCCCGGGCCAGAGGATTCGTCACTCTTTCGATTTCAGAGTTTTCATGTCTCTGAATATATTTGGGATGGACGTGATCACCCGATGTTGAGGGTCAGAAAAAGTCAAAATATTTCTGGTGGATTAGAAGGTGTTCCTCAGAAAATTATTCCGCATTTAGAGTTAGCCAATTTTATTGGACTGGCTAACTTATCACAATTTTCGCTGGACATGGGACTAATTACTGCATTAGTTGAGAGGTGGAGGCCTGAGATGCACACTTTTCACTTGTCCCCTGGAGAGTGTACTATTACTCTTCAGGATGTTGCTATCCTATTGGGGCTACGCATAGATGGGAGGCCGGTTATAGCAACTACTGGAGGTAATTGGGCTCAGATTGTTGAAGACCACCTAGGTATCAGACCAGGGGCAGATGCTTTTGTAGGGAGTTTTCTGAAGATGAGCTAGTTGGATGAGCACTTTAATCATATTAGAATGCATAATCAGAATGCTCTACAGATTACTCGATTTGTTAGGGCATATATATTGAGGTTGATTGGAGGGTTCATGCTTCCTGATCACTCTAGCAGCAGAGTATCTGTGAGGTACTTAACTTTACTTGATGACTTTGAGTTGACCGGTCAATATAGTTGAGGATCTACAGTTCTAAGTTATTTGTACCGAGAGCTATGCATGACCACCAATATTGATCGCATTGCTATTGGAGGACTTGCTGCGTTGATTGTGATGTGGGCTTGGGATAGATTTCCCCATCTGGCACCTAGTAATCCCCCTCATACACGTGTCAATCTTCCGTATGGTGTGAAAGTGATAAATTTAAATTCATCACCTGCGACGGCACTATTGAACTCTCACCAATAACAATATTCACATATAACTCTATAACACTTCTACCAGATTGTTGTTGAAATGCACTTATCATACAATCAATATCTTCATCATCACAAATATATAAACTTGTATGCTATCTATTATTTCTATCAATCAGAAAACGTGAAATTAATCTACAAATAACTTCATTATGATCAAGATTAAGCTTCAAATGAATTTTTCTTTTTAAGGCTTCAAAACTTATTTCTCGCTTTATCTGAATCATTTTCTTTCTTCCTTCAAAACTCACACCTTCATTCCCTTCATAGATTCTACCATTCCAATATATCATTATAATATGTCCACTCATCCTGCATTTTTACAAAACAAATTTAATTACTATTGAAGTTTTTTTAAATTAATATCAACAAAATAATTACTTCTTTATTAATCAATTTATTTATTTAAAATAAAATACACAATAACTACATTCATAAATTTACATGAAATGAAGAAAAAAAAATTATAAATCTAACCTGTTTTGTTTCAAATGTGTTAGTCGACAAAAATTTTGCGGTATGAACGTGGTGTGTATGTAGCTGGAGAAGGGTGCAAATATTGAACAGGGTTGATTGTTCAACTGCTCAATGAACGACTCAACTGAAGTAGATAAGAATATACCAAACTAAGGCAAAACCAGTACCTGATGTTGGTCTCCAATCAAAGTCCAGATTCAAGTGTGCCAAACCAGCATTTTTATTGATTGAAAAGGATATGAATGAAAGAAGTTGCAGCAAGGGCGGGCTCCAAGGAGACAATAGCAATAATAGAGTGGCCAAGCATTGAAAGAGAGGAAGGGATAACGGTAAAAAATAAATAAAAGCTATGCAAGTTTCGCCCAGCAAATGGCGAAAGTTAATTAAAGTTTCGCCAATATATTGACGAAACATTAGTTTCGCCAGTCCAATGACGAAAAACAAGTTTCGCCCTGCACGTGGCAAAAGTAGCTCCTATTTTGCCATTAGAAACGCGAAACTACCCTGATGCATACACGTGTCAAGATTTTATATTTTCGCTCTTTTTGTGACGAAACAAATTTAAAAAAATAAATAAAAAAGTTTATTTCGCCAGCTACTTTAGCGAAACACAACACCGACGTGACAAATTTACTCCAGACAAGAAAATAGTTTGAAAAAATATGTAATTTAAGAAATAGTTTTCTATTTTACAATATTTAAATAAAAAAGCTGAGAAAATGTCTTTTGAAAAAGTATATATATTATCACAATCCCTTGCAAGTTGTAACAAATGCACTGATGCTTGTCACTCTTATCAAAGACTGGGGAGTACTCCAAATCTTTAACCGAACGTGTTTTTTACTCTAAGCTATAAAAAGATTACTTGCACTACAGTCTAAAAGTCAATTCCAATTTTGTTTCAATCATAAATTTCTGGGGCAATGAAAATAATAATTGCAACAGGGACAGTGTATTTTTCTTGCATGTGTGTTTGTTTTCATTTTGAAAACCTAGGAGACCAAGGCAACGACATGTACCCCTTGCGAACTATTCCTAATATTTGCGGTAGATATCCAAATCCTCTGTCGTTTCAAATAATTGCATAAAATCTAAACCTTTAAAAATGATTATCTACGGAAATAAATATAGCTAACAACTTGATGGAGTTTTTCAAAACATGCAAAGAATCTTGAGCTATTGATACGGTCATATGCATATTCCAATTTCCAACACGAACTGTAGACTGTGGATTTTCCTTGTATTATACTTTGTGAACATTGTGATAGGATCCAACCTAAAAAGAAGTCCTTTTCTCGTGCTTTATATATGCGGCAATATGGCATCATGACACTGAATCTTTTGTCATGTAACCACTAATTTGACCAGAATGTCTACAGTTAAAGGAACACAAATTTGTAGATGATTATCCGTAGCACTTGGTATTCACAAATTTTACTCGTTTGTTTTGGGCCTGAGAATCATAAGGTAAATACTTATTATATGTTCCATTGTGAATGACAGGCAATGAAATTCATAAGATAAATAATTCTTTTAAAATAATTCATACACACAAATATTAAAATATAGCACAACTTAGACAAAATAATAATAATAATAATAATAATGAAAATAAGGTCGAGATTCTGATAATCTTTTTATAAGGGACAAGAATGTATGAAGATGTATTTCTGATTGCCAATGAGGGAACAGTTTAAGGGTTTCAGATATGACATTTTGTTTTCCATTTAAATACATGTTATCCCCAAAAAGGTTTTATTGTAATCTGCGACTACCTTCCACACACACACGAGCGAGGATGGGGTGAGATGGTAAAAATTAACAGGCTCATAATTAAGTTTTGTTATATCTTTTTACATATTTTATAAATGATATTTTTATTATTTTATAAATTAAATATTAAATAAAAATCATATATTTATTAACTTAAAAATATAAATAATAACATTTTTTATTAATTAGAAAGATTTATAAAAATAAAATATCAAAAAATGAAAATTATTATGTTTTAATTACCACGACAAAATAAAGTATAACATTCTAGACTTGTATTGGGTTAATAGGAAACTTAATTTTATATAATAAAGTTAGATAGGTTACTTCAATATCTGAGTGCTTTACATGACACGAAAAACACATAATATTTACTTAGTACATGATAAAAAGTATATAATATTATTAATAAAAAGTATATTTTAAGCATTTTCAACAGTAATAATAAAGGAAATATTTAAATCTAACTGTTATTTTATTTGTATCTTTTTGCTGCGGTATTTCTTTTGCCCGGGCCTATAAGACCCACTAAATCCATGGAAGAGAAAATGGATTGTGAAAAAGGAGAAAAAATCTCTTATCATCTTCTTTACATTGTAACTCCACATCTAATTATTGATTTTATCAATTATATGTCACATATAGATAAATAAACATGTTAATTAGTAGCTATATTGTTTTACTTTATTTTTCTTTAAAATGTCTTCTTTGGTGCATATTTCTGCCTTATTTTATTATTTAAAATTAAAGTAATCAATAAATATGAATAGTGCGTATATTTAAAAGTTCACACATATCAAATGAGAAACCATATTTTGAAACAAATTTTTTAAGCATGGTATTCTATTATTTACAGTAACTCGTGGAAGAATTTCTTTGCATGTGTAGTGTAAGACGAATAGGATAATTTTTAGTAGTATTTTTAAGAGTTTTGATAACAAGTTTAATTTTAATGCACATGGATTATTAATTAATTAAAATAAATTATAAGTATAATTTTTAAATAATTATATATATATATATATATATATATATATATATTGCTATTCAACAAAGCTCACAAAGTACAAAAATACAATAAAATTAGACTAAAAGTCTAGGCCAAGAAACTCTCAGAAAATGGACATTTTTAGAGATGGCTAGCTTAAGACCCCAAGCAAGTCTCCAAAGTTCAACTGCAAGAGGAGAGCAAAATGAAGGAACTTGTAGTAAACAGCGATGAATTCGCCTTCGTGATTATGAATAAGACCTCCACAGCTATCTATTTCCAAAGCCTAGAGGACAGAACCATCACTATTAAGTTTGAGCTACTTCTTTAGAGGAAGGTGCCACCTGACTTGACCTTGTGGCCGTAACAAATCACCATCAACTCTCAAAGAACTCCTATCACAAGAATGTAGATAATCAAAATAAAAAATAATCTTGTTCAGCAGGTTATCATTACTCAAAAGACAATTTTGAAATATAACACAATTCTTAATTTTTCAAAGGCTACAAATAACAATAGCAAACAAAGAATGACAAAAGGAATGCAAAGTAAAGTTTTGGGTAGACAAATTAAAAAGGAGCCAATTAGATAAACTCATGCTAAAAAGAGAAGACCATTTATCAAGGAGAAGAATGTTATGCCAAATTTGAGTCGCCCACCGACAATCTTAAGGACATGAATCACAGATTCAAGGGCTTTATTATACCTAACACATAGGGGAAAATTAAAAGTCTAACATGAGTAACTTTTCAAAGGAAGAAAAAAAAAATACTAGGAGGGCCTTTCTAGTCCCAAATTAAACCAAAATCATGATTATTACTATTAGTTGTATTCTGATTGACTCTAGAGATAAGATCATATTGATAAATGCTTTCTATACTTGGTCCTACATTGTAATTCATGAATGATTGAGCTATTCATTGAGAGAATTTATTATTAAGTCTATTTTATTCATATTTCAGGAAAAAGGATCAAGAAGTGAGAGTTTAAAGAATATTGAAAATTGAAGCAAGACAAGAATCAGAGATATACACAGGCAAGTACATGGCCGTGTACATGAATGTGTATCTCACTGGTTACATAAATCAAGCACATTATCAAAACAGAGATATACACGGGCAAGTACACGCTCGTGTATATGAGCGTGTATCTAACTGGTTGCGTCAATTGAAATGCATCATCAAAATTAGAGATGTACACGGTCAAAGTACATGGCCGTGTACATGGGTGTGTACTTTTCAAGAAAGTTATGAAGGGCAATTCTTAGATACCAGAGATGTACATGGCCAAAGTACATGAGCGTGTACTTTAAACGTGCATCAGAATTTAAACTTCTGCGA